GTGTTAGCCAGGATGGTCTCGATCTCCCGACCTCGTGATCTGCCCGTCTCGGCCTCCCAAAGTGCTGGGATTACAGGCTTGAGCCACCGCGCCCGGCCAAAAATGAAATTTTTTAAATTACAAAAATAATACATGCTTATTACCAAGAACTTGAGCATGATAGAAGTGTGACACCCTCCTCTTCTTGTAGATGCTAAGCCAGGAGAGCACAGGAGGCACGCCCGTTGGCAGACATGCCTCCTGGCCCTGTCATGCTCTCATCCCACAGGTGTTTCCTGAGCACCGCGCCTGGGGTTGGCCATACAGAGATGAATGAGAGTTGCTTCCTGTCCTGAAAGAATTCTCACTGTCAGCCATAGGAGCAAACTTGAAAATAAGTAACTCTAAGAAAATGTGATAGAATATTTTAATAGAGGATTGTATTTTTGATGGTCTCTCATAGGAGCTGCTAGTGGAGGAAGAGAAGGAGAAAGAGTGGAGGCAGTCTTCTCAAAAGGGAGGTGGGGGCAGATCCTGTCTAGGCCTTCAGGAAGAATTGGGAGGAAGGGTGTGCTTGGGGAACTCCAGTAGTTCCTGGTTGCTCCTGCCCAGAGTGGTAGAATGTGTGGCCTTAGAAGGTAGGTAAATTGGGACAAAGTTGTTGACAGTGTAGATGGTGGGGAGTAGCATCACTTTTATATTCTAAAGAGAGCTCTTTGTCTGCAAAGTGAAGTGCAGTGGGAACCAACTAGGACAGTAATGTCACAGTCTTGGTGCAGGAGAGTGAGCTGCTCAATGAAGGAAGTTGTTGGCGGGATTGGAGAGAAAGGACATAGGTGCTTAGCGGGTGATATTAACAGGACTTGGTGGCCAGTTGATGTTGGTGGAGAGAGATTTATGGCTTGGGTTCTGGTGCTGCTGGAGAAGCCATTATCTAGATAAGAAGTGTAGCAGCAGGAGGAGGTTTGCAAGGGGAGGCAGTGAGGTCAGTTTGGGACCTACTGAGTTTGCAGTATCTATAGAGTAGGGAGTTGAGGAGAGTGGAAATGTATGGAACTAGAATATAGAAGAGAGGCGGGGCTGGAGATGGAATTTACTAGTTGGCAGCAATGCTAATGGGCAAGACTGCCTAGAGTAGGCATAAAAAACAAGAGAAGAGGTCCTAGGATTACCCTGTGGAAACACCAGCATCAGGTGCTAGCATCAGGAAAACAGGAATCCCACTGTAATCGTCTTGTTTAATAATACCTTGTCTGTCTTTAATAAGTACTCTCTAAAAATTTTTTTTCCTAATGAGGAAAAAATGTATTAAAAGATTGTTACCTTGACTTATTTCCAGTTTCTGCTATGTTGTGTCAAGGACTTCCCTTTGCAAACTTACCCATATCTTCTAGTTCCCAGCAACATGTAAATAAGAAAATTAGGGAATGGTGTATTCTGGGGAAGCAGGTTTTTCAGGATAGGCAGTGGATGAGGCCTAGCCCATAAGGGATTCCTTTAAGTCCTCAGAGTCCTTTTGGAAAGCAAAGGCTTTAAGTTAGGCTGCTGTGAAGTTCATTGTCACGTTGAGTTCTCTTTAAAACTCATCCAAATTGAGATCTTGACACAACAGCAGAAGCTCTCAATTGTGAGGAAACTGTTGTGGGTACAGATAAGTCTTCACAAAGTCCTGACTTTCTGGTGCTGCTCCTGGACAGCACTCTGCTGTGTGTGTGTTGCTGACATGTACTTTCTCCCTAGCCTTGACCTTTCAGAGGCCTGTGCACCCTCACCATGAGAGATACAGACTGCAGACTTTTTTTTCTCCCACCAGCACCACTGGGAGCCTGAGTGCGATTCAGAAGATGACGCGGGTACGAGTGGTGGACAACAGTGCCCTGGGGAACAGCGCATACCATCGGGCTCCTCGCTGCATTCATGTCTATAACAAGAATGGAGTGGGCAAGGTGGGCGACCAGATACTACTGGCCATCAAGGGACAGAAGAAAAAGGCGCTCATTGTGGGACATTGCATGCCTGGCCCCCGAATGACCCCCCGATTCGACTCCAACAACGTGGTCCTCATTGAGGACAACGGGAACCCTGTGGGGACACGAATTAAGACACCCATCCCCAGCAGCCTGCGCAAGCGGGAAGGCGAGTATTCCAAGGTGCTGGCCATTGCTCAGAACTTTGTGTGAGTTGAGCCCAGGCCTCTGGTTGCAGGAGGGTTCGTGAATGGAGCAGTTCTGAGAACGACTCTTTTGCTAAGGGAGCTTGGGAGCCACATGGCTGCTCCCTTCACACTGGGTAACAGTGTAATGTCCTGTGAGAGAATAAATATATTCATTTATGTGTTCCGGAGCTTTCTGGGATGTGGTGGGAAAATAAATGACACTGAAGCAGTTGAAAGCTGGCTTACCCAAGTCTGGCCACACGGGGTAGCATTCTTTACATGGAGCAGCCTTGGTGCCAGGGTCTGAGCCCTTGCTTTTCTGGTTTGGACCCTGTGAGTTCACGCAGGACTGTCAGGCCCTGGAAAACTGAGGTACACACCAAATGCCAATTTATAAATGTACCGTGGAGTCTGCCACTTTCTAACCAAAAGATATTTGTTTTTGTTTTTCTCATCCCAAATATCCTCTTCCTGTATTAGTGGGCTTGAGGCTTTAAATGGTTATAAAGATGACCAGGTTAGCATGGAATAAGAGCAGAGAGGCTGATTTAATCTAGTGAACATTCCCTTTAGGCTGTAGTAAAGCCCAGACAGTAATTCTTTCTTTGTTCTGGATAGTCTGCCAGAACACACCTCTGTGCCCAGTAGCAGAGCTTCCTCCCTGGACTGCTGGAGAAATGGATACATTCTTACATTTTGCAGATGACATAATCTTGGGCCTGTGCAGGTGATTCAGTGAGTTATCTTTCCTTCATCTGTTGGTCTGCTTGGGGAGATTTAGAGGCTCCCTTAGTTTCTTTAGTGGAACCTCATCAACTTATTTATAAATTCTTTTTTTTTTTTTT